CCAACGTACCCACTACTGCTAGAAATGGCGAGGAAGGAAAAAAAAAACAAATAAAAGAAGGAAACGACCTGGCATCGATAGCAATATACGACTGGGCACCTGGAATGTGAGATTAATCACCGGTAAAAAGAAATTGAAATCACCGATGAAATGATGGCAAAGATCAATGGAATGACGCTGAATGAGATGAGGTGATAGAAGAGTTGGAAATATAAAGAGCTTTCACGAGAAAGGAGAATAGGAAACCGCGAGGACGAGATAATATAATGGTATAATTTATAAAGTGTGGTGGCCACAAGTTGGCGAATGCACCCCAAGTTCTCTGTCAAAAAGCCTGGGACGAGAAGAGGATCACAAATGATTGGGATTACAATATTATAATACACATTCATAAGAAAGGGACCCAGGCCGAATACTCCAACTATGGTGCTATACGCCTCTCACCACTAATTCACAAACTATATAAAACTGTTCTGGAAAGGTGATTGAGGCCCCTCGTTGAAGACCTTGTTGAAGAAAAGCAAGACATGTTCAGACCAGGGATACCAACACAGGACCACATATCCTGCATAAGAAATGTTTTCCATCCAAGCTCCATGTATTCAAATCTGTGTATCTACGTTGTTCTAATGGCATATTAATCGCATTAATCATATGATATTTTATAATCTTCTCATTGTATGGGACCGGTGTTTTATTTTTAAATCAACTTCTTTTTCAGGCAGTGGCGAAAAGAACGCAGATACAACCGATGGGTTGTCGAGGCTGTAAGGGACGTTGTGCAGAGGATGAACTAATTTTGGGAATTGGAAACATTTCACTAGTTTTGATCTGTATTTTTTTTTTAAATGGTTTTATTGAGTATTAATACAGTCTGCCACACTGAAGGGAATTGGTACTAAGAATATAGTATTCATTCACACAATTTGTACATAAGAAAGGAAAATGAATATAAATAACCAAAGTAGGAAAAAAAAAAGTATATATATATATATATATATATATATATATATATATATATTTATATATGTAAGTAAATAAAAAGATAAAGTAATATAAAAGATAAATAAAATAACAGATTAAAGCCGAAGGATAATAAAATAAATAAAACACATTCACACCTATGTACAATATTTAGTTTGACCCAGGGGATTCTGAATCAAGCTTTGTCCTCCAAATGTGGAAGCTAAAGCAGGAGTCCAGGAGATCCCAGTGTTTCTTCACCAGCCGAGTCACTGGTATTGGAAGCCAGTGGAGACTGATGGTGATCAGTAATAAATAAAAAAATGGTTATATTAGAAACAAATTATTAAAATAGATTTAATTTAAATTGCTGTAAATAGTACTTAAAATATAATAATGAATACATGTGTATTGCAGAAACAATGGAATTTTAAAATTTATTGGGAAAAAATTTGTTAATATATTTACTAACATAAAGCAGCGATGCCCAAAAGGGGATAATGCAAGTTGCACCATGGAAATGTTTGAAGGGGGAATATTTTTACGGGGTTTTGAAGGGGAAACATTTTGACGAGTTTATGATTTTGACGGAATGAAAAGTTTCAAATCAGGAGACTAGCAGAAAATATGGAATAGACAGCTTCAAATGTAATTCTTTATGATCTTCGATTTTTCAATGAATTCGCTCGCATTTTTTTTTTTTTCTTTGGGGGAGGAGGGTCATGAGCCATCGAGATTGGGAGTTATGAGCAGCCCTGTTAACGGGTATATAAAAGGAAATAAAAATTGCACAACTGAATTACCTATGTTATAATTTAACATTTTACAATCATCAGACACTAATGAACCTCTTAATTATCAATATTCAAACTTAGAATTAGTTGAATTGTGGACGATATTGGCTATGGATTGATTTTGAACATAGTTGCATTGGTGATAATATCTGAGCTATCCAGCTAAGATGGTAGTGATGATATAATATCTGTTTTAGGTAAGGGCGATAGGGGCCTAGGCCGAGAATTGCTATCCCTCACCTTCACCTCCGCTAATTGCATTTTTCTACTCTTCCAGAGGAGAAAAGAAAAGTAGCAATACTATAGCCCAGTAAAATTAGCAGAAAAAAAAAAAAAAGATCTAGCTTGCAAAAGATCGGTTAGTTCAAATTTCGTTTTTCTAATGTTATGTATAAAGTGTTTATAGGTATGTAGTTGATATAAAAAATCCAAGTTTCGGCTCTTGAATGCCTTGTGCGTTCGCTGCATTAATAAAAAAACCATTGAAATTCCCAACTTTTTTTTTTGTTTACGCTCCTTTTTAAAGCAACATAAATGAAAAAAATGTTATTTTCAATTTTAAACAGCTAAAAATTATCTAACATTTTTGTTTATAAAAATTTTTTTAAACCCAACAGGAAGTGAACTTCCTGAGTATTCAAAATGGGTAAATTTTTAAAAATTCAAAAAAACAATGCATATTTTTTGTTTTTGATTAATTATCTGTTATAATAGATAATGTATCTCAAAATTTTAAATTAAATATTAAATACCACACAATTAACTATAGCTTTTATAGGAAACATATTTATCTAAACTTAAATACAAATCGCTAAAAATAAATTAATGCTTTGAAATTCGAAAAAAAAAAACCCTCATAATTTTACTTTTAATGTTTCCACTTATTTTAATGAAATTGGTTATCAACGATCTCGGAGCTTTCTAGGCTAGTCATAAATAAGTATGCATGTGTTTTAGGCAGGAGTTGAAACTTTTATGGAACTTTCTTGAAAAGTTCCATTTAAAACGTTTTTATGAAAAAAGTTTCAAAATAAAAGTCCTAAGGAATTTTTTTGTAATACAGTTCTAGGTCTATGGTAAGTGTTGAATTTATATTTATTTAAGTTATTATAAAACAGTTTATCTAAATTAATTGTTTATTTCCAAAGTGAACCGTAATGAAAATAATAATTCCACCATCGGATTCATTAGGTGTTTTAAATGGGAATTGATACTCATCCCGATCTTCATAAGAAACGTACAGGGCTATCTTTGGTAGAAATAAACAGTAATTGGGCTAAGATTACAGTTATAATTTATCTTAAATGAATTAATTGATTCTAATGTGTTTGTTTGAATAACTAAGAATAAAAGTAATCTTTTTAATTAGCAAATTAGCGAAATCAACACAACTTTTAAGTATGTTTTTTTTTTAATTTAAGTTTTGTAGAAATGTAATCAGAGAAGTTGCAAGGAAAAAAGTAATTTTACCGAAATAAGAGATTTGTGTTGTTCACCATATTTCACTCAACGCGACAAGTAGTGGCAATAAGTCTTCGTGTGGCCATACGTCTTGCAATTGTGGCACTGCACGATTTCCTTCTTGGGGTATGGCTACTTTATCTTCACGATAGTGTAGTACAGTCTCTTGATTTCTTATATTTTCTTTAGCCCCAGTGGCGTTTGGGAGAGAAGTGCAGGGAGCTCCTGGAGTCATGCTTTTCCCTCCACAGTTGAAGGGACAAGTCTGGTTTGGAGTTGTAAATATTGTCTCTCGCCAGATTGGTATGTATGTGTTCATTTTATTTATTTATAGGTTATTTTATTCTTATTTATTGTAAATATATTATTTTTCTGTATAATTCATTTTATTTATTATACATAGAGTGTGAATGTGATCTGTGAACACTATTATAATGTCCTTGAGACAGATTGTAATATTTTTCAATAAATAAGTTTATCAGAGATCTACGAAAAATAAAGGCAGTTGAACTTTATTTTTTACTCCAGGCTGCTCCCTATTCTCCTTCAGAACGTTGATTACCTGAAGTACTTTGAAACCAAGCGTCGTTTTTTCTTCTTTCATCACTTCAGTTGCGGTTGAGGATTGTAAATTTCTTATCACCACTCGTGTTGATCTCTCTTGTTTCAGCTGGTACGTACGGAAATTTGCATTTGTTCCTGACAGGTACTTCACAATTTTTCGTAAGGTTTCTGCAGTATCTGGTGTTACTTTTGTATCGTTGGTCCTATTGAGGCAAGAACAACTGCCAGAGCAGATTTCATTTAGTTGTATACACAATAGCTGGAAATTGGCCACAAAGCCCTTGGCTCTCTGGGTATTGCTGCTGACTCCATTACTTCTCTGTCATTATAAAGCACTTGGAACGGGTTTGGAGTAAAGAAAGAAGATTCTTCAACCATTTCTTGCGAAGACGTATCTGGTTGAGGCTGAGGTTCTGGATCTGAAGTGTTCACTGTGCTTATTGGAGCGATTTCTCGCAGGCAGCGACGAGTTCCTTGTTTGGCTGGTGAATCACGTGGTGTACTAACGCCGTCTGACCGAGTCCTCTTAGTGGGCACCTTACTGGACATCACTTGCTGACAATTCCGCATATCATAAGAGAAGAAAAGGAAAAAAGAAATTAAAAATTTAAAAAAGTATATCAAACAGTAAATATTAACTGCTCTTATGTGCACTTGAACTGTATTCAGTGAATAATCAGAGAGATTCCGCTGAAAAATACTCAAAAACTAAGTGACGAGTTGAGAACACAACCTTCGCATCAGCTGATCCACTGCCTTCTCGGTATTATTAACAATGTTAGATCTTGAGTCTAGTACTGCGTTCAAACATAACATTAACAACGTATACAGCATTAAGTATAACAGATTAGTAAACGATATATATACATAAATAATTAGTAAAACATTTTTTTTCAATTTTTTTATTATAAAAAAACAATATAAATGAACATTAATATATGTTTATATGATTAACTATACCACTTAACAGTTCAATGAACAGCCCTGTGTGAAATAATACAGTTGATTTATTTTTTTCATAACTATAAATGTCACTAATGATAAATGTCTTGAAGTACTTATTTCTTGATGCATTAAATTTGATACATTGAATCAAAAAATAAGTCACCAGGTCAGTTACAAGGCAGTTGCATGCACCACATACCTCACTAGATGTAGTAGTCAAAGTAGCATGTTTTAAGTATATCTTCACAAAATATTTAGTTACTACTCTGAGACGACTAGCGGCTCTTAATTTGTTTGAATTCAGAGCATTGAACTGAAGATAATCCTCTGGTTTGGTAGCATTAAAGGAGCAGATTTTTCTATATCTTGGGTTTGATTTAGAGTTTAACATTCTGTCGATATCCTTGGATACGTGATGGTTTCTCATTTTTTCAATGATTTCATTTTTGAACCTCATCAGACCTTGGGAGAAAACACACGAAAACAGCCCCTGACATCCCAGTTCCACCACAATCATCTTTACTTGGGTAACCCCGTTATAAGTTGGATCAGGTTTTCCAATGGATGAGTCAAGAGCTCTAAGCCTATTAAAGCATTGTCTAGGTAGTCTTTCGTTACTTATTAAGCTTAGCTTTGTCCAATAGTTGATCACTTTTTCAACACTTCAAAGCTTAATGGAGATCTCCTACTAAATTTTAGAACATACTGACCCTAATTCTGAAATTTTTCAACAACAAGACTTCACAAATAGATATAAAAATAACTCAGTTTCCAAACGGTACAACAGCAGTTCTCAATTCAAAATATAATTGAGAACTCAGAAATATTAGTAACTTAAACCATGGAGGATAATGTTTAAAACTTGGGAACCAACAAACTTTTCTTAAGAAAAGAACATTCTTCGATTTATATCTGTATTTGTGAAATTATTAATTATTAAATTTCCTTTATGTGATAATATTTGTGATGGAACCTCCTGTATATATTATAAAATACAGAATTTCTTCGTTCATTGAATTTAGTTTAACTCTGGAGGATGTCGGGATTAAATATTCTCGGGTTCCTCTTCTGGTGGCCAGGATTTGGTGAAGACTGATTTTTAAAAAAGTTTAATTGTTAATTTTTATTTCTACAAGTTTGATGAAATAATGTTGGACGGTGAACACAAGGGGGGGTGGGGTGGTGGGGGGATGGTGGTAGGGGTTGGAGCCGGTGGCGGTAGAGTTAGTCCTAACTGGGGCCATCAAGCAGAGTGGATATGTCGCTGTCGCTCTGAGTTCTTCTCCGTCTCAGCGAACTTTCAAACCTTTCTCAGTCGGCAATCTTCCTCTTCCAATTACACCGGCAAGGGCACCGCCTACCGAGGGTCAGTCTCTACCATTCTATTTATTCACTTTTACCTTATTTTTCTATAGTATTATTATTAAATTGTATATAAGATATGTATTTGCATCGGTTGCAAAAGATGGCCTCGTCTATAATTCTTCCCTAACTTGTGATTTTAAGACGTTGACTGTATTACCCCGAGAATGGCTAGTCGAAGAAAGATCCGTTTCTTGGGAAGGAGCATTCCGAGAAAAACCAGTTGACCGCATGTATCCGGAACTGCACTGCCCTACAACTCCTGCTGCTGAGTATCCCGACGCACTTCTCTTTCTAACTTCATACTTGTAATTATCTCAGTCATAGTAGCTATTTTACGGTAAAAAAAAAAGTTTACAACCTTTTCTTAATAAATGACTGCTAATAAACATTATTCCTGCGGGAAAAAAAAACAAGTTTCCTTGTACTTAATATTCCAAAAATCTGGAGAAAAAAAATAAGCACTATTTACTATTTAAACTTTAATTTAATCATACTTGCATTAAATATATTCGTGTTTAATAAAATTGTAGCTTTTAATAGTATTCATTAATTATTTGCGACGGCATATTGTTATGAACTATTAATTTTTATTTACAAGACTCGTTTGGGATGAGCCGGTATGGTAGAAACTGCCTGTTCAAGACACATTTTATTTAGAGCCTCCAACCGCTTCTTTATCATTTATGTGCGCTCCTGAAGCAAATTAAAAATTCGAAAACAATTTTTCCTTATCAATGGGGCGCGGCTCTTTAAATCTAAAAAAAATCATAGAAATATTGATGATATAGACTACTGAGTTCTAAAATCGAATCGGGTATGACTACAACGTAGTCAAGATGGAACAAGTGAAAAGATTGAAGAATATTATTAAGCAAAATTTTCCATAAACTATAGATAACATTCATATTCACAATTATTGAGCGAACGTTATCTTTGCTTATTTATTTCAATAATATTTTGCAGTTTTATGTTTCGTTATTTAGTGATTGTGAAATGCAAATTATATGCTCGTAGTTATCAAATCTCACTTTTTATTTAGCATTTTGAATTTGTTTACTTTTGGCGATCGTGCATTTTTAAGTACGATTTCGGAATACTAGAACTAATTATATTTTTTATATATTGTGATAATATATTTAACGCATTACATTACAGTCTAAAAAAAGTAACACGTTGATGATGATGCGTGTCTTATCGTTTAGTCAGATCTAGAATTTTTTTCTTGTAGTTTACTTTGACAGAAATATACATGATAAAGTGTAATAGAAGCAACGTAATCAATTCTGTGCCACATTGTGAAAAAAAATTGATAAAAAGATATTAAAGGCTGTTTAGTACTTCTTTAAAGTTCCTGAAAAATTTTAATAGATAATTTTCGTATGGATTGACTTCATTTTCGAAATAAAAAATATTTCTTCTTCTTATTTTGAGGAAACTAAACACGGCCGTATGTTTTGAAACTAAATAGATGGATGAGATCCGTTATGAAGTGTTGTAATGGTTTGTGTTGTCAGAGGATTGCTGTGCGATATAATTATGGCCGCACGCAACTCAGCAACCAAATATCTCATTCACTCTGTTATTTATACAGAATATTATTATAATTATTAATTGGACATGTTTATTTCATAGTTATCTTGCAAAATTAAACTAATACATTATAATTCTGTTACTTCTTGATACGATATTAATTTAAATTGTATTGATTATATCTGCTCTAATCATGGTAGAATTGAAAGAAAACAAGCGGATTCAAGATTTGATGTTTTTTTAGTTGTTATAATGCTTTTAAGGATAATTTTTTTCTTGAAACGTGCTTATATTTATTAGCTGAAATATATTTGCTATAATTTAAAAAGAGTACGTATTGTGATTGTTCAAGTATTTAGCTCAGATCACGCATAGGAATAAGTATGAAAAATATATTTATTTATTTTTGGCGTGGGAAAGGGGGGGGGGGGGTTGTGGGAGGAGGTTTTAGCCCGAAAGTGGCCCAGGATCCACCAGTGCGACGCAGGCTGGGTTGTGGAATTTTGGTTGCGATGAAACTGCCTTCACAGGCCACTAGCGTGCTTCCATTGTCTTAGCGTCTTACCAATACAATGACTCCACCATTGCGGCTCAACGATTGTATCGTGCTCATTTTCTAACTATAAGTGATTCCGATGCAAACATCAACCGGAAATATATACAAAATTTTGAATGACCAGGATCAATAGTCAAAATTCAAAATGGATTTCGTCACCACGCGGTCTGTCTCAATGAAATGAATCCAACAATCCTTGAATCATATTCCTTGACTTAATCTTCACAAATTTCATTGGTTTAATTCAAAACATAGTTCCAGCAAGATTTATTGAACCCAGAATCATTTAATAGCAGTAAAACAATTATCCTGCAATAAACCGCTGTCACTAAGAGTTGGCATCGTCTGCAACTCAGACTTTTTGTTATGGGGCCCTTAAAGAGTATGAAACTAAGCAAAAAAAAAAAAAATAAAAATAAAAATCTTACAACATTAAAGGAAAATATTTCAGCAGAAATAGCATCAATATCTGAAGCCAAGTGTCTTGTTAATCGATACCTTTGCCTAACATTATACGAACATAGTGCGCGTAACGGATACCTATAAGACGATAGTAAACGATTTTACATCATACCTTCATTTTTATTAAATAAATTATCTTGTTTGAATATTTCTTAAAAATTTATTTATTTTCGTTCTGACTCACTTTTTTAACAACACCTTGTATCATTTATTATACTTAACTAACATGCTTTTAATGAATACCTATAAGACGATAGTAAACGATTTTCCATCATACCCTCATTTTTATTAAATAAATTATCTTGTTTGAATATTTCTTAAAAATTTATTTATTTTCGTTCTGACTCACTTTTTTAATAACACCTTGTATCATTTATTCTACATAACTAATATGCTTTTAAAGAAATACAATACTTATATTTCTTATGGTAATAGTTCACTATTAATCATTCATATTCTATAGTTTTAGTAAAAATAATAAAATTCAAGTATTAGATTATTTTTGTTAGAGGTTATGTTTTATAATTTTTTAGAACTCTTAATTTTATTTTGTCACTTAATTTTATTATTATTATTATTTTTTTGACACGAATCGGCCAGCAAGGACCATGCGAATATCATTTCATATCCGTCTTCACATCTTCCGCCTTCCTTCCGTTCCAATACTTTCATCCTCCTGGACTGTTCCTCTCGCTCTTCCTTAGTCCATTTTCTCCCTTGTCTCTACCTCCTCCAAGTAAATCTCTCTATCCAAGCAGTCCTTATCTGTGAATTTTAGCTTACCCAGTTTCTCTCTTATTTATTTTGCATATCCTCCCATATTTTTATAGCTGCAGATTTTCATTTTATTAAAGAATAAATTATTAAAATGTATTCATTTATGTCCTCAGAAACCAATAAATTTCTGCTTAAGTTTGAGGATGAACTTTGACACATGATACAGGGACATAATGATACGATAGCACGCAAAAAAGGAAAAGCCCATCTGGTTGTAAAGCCTATGAAGGTAAACGGAAAAAAACGAAAAAAATAGGACATGTTATTATTCGAAAATGGATAAAATATTTTTTGGAATGATGAAAACAATATTTTGGACTAAGGGGCATATGATCGGTTCCAAGGTTTCTTTGCTGTTCTACTACATTTTTTTTTTATAGAAAAATAAACTTTATTCTGGGACAAAGCCCCCAAAGAATAAAAAAATTAACAAATACAAACATACACACACACACACACACACACACACACACACACACACACACACACACACACACATATGAATGAATGAAAACGTGTTTATTGTACTTTGTAAATTACACATTAAAATATATATAAATATACATATACAAGCAACAACACATAGACAATGGAAAATTCCGTCTGTCGAGGTCTGTGTGAAATTAATAATAAATATTCATTACACTTATAACTAAAATAAGTGAGTAATAATATATCCACAGTAATATTATATATTTAAACACCCATTCTAGCAATTCTTCCTTCACTGTTTCATTTGTTTAGATTGAGTTTTCAAAAAAACAAACATAAATACATCATAAATCCAATAAATAAGAAATTTAATTTCAACAACAATAATAATAACC